CCACACCTCGCTCAGCCAGTGAGCTGCCGGTCTGTATGTGGGATCCGAACCCTCGGCGGGAGTGCTGCCGCACTCCCAAGCGGTGCACTGTAGCAGTGCGCCACCGGGCCGGCCCTTCCCCTAGTATTATCATCTTGCACTTGTGTGGCATATTTGTTACAAATGATAAACCAATATTGATATATTATTATTGTTACCAAAGTTCAACTGGTTTTTGACGAGGGTGCCAACACCATCCAATGGGAAAAAGAATAGTCTTTTCAATAAGTGAAGCTGAAACAACTGGGTAGTCATATGCAAAAGAATGATTCTGGACTACTATCTCACACCATATACAAAAATAATTCCATATGCCGTCAAACTCTTAGAAGAAAACATAGGAGTAAATCTTGGATTAGGCAATGGATTCTTAGATATGACACCAAAAACACAAGCAACATAAGAAAAAATAAACTAGATTCTATCAAAATTAAAAACTATTGTGTTTCAAAGGATACCCTAAAGAAAGTGAAAAAGGGCTTGCCAGTTAGCTCACTTGGAGGAGCGTTGTGGTAGTAACACCAAAGTCATGGGTTTGGATCCCCACACTAGCCAGCCACCAAGAAGAAAAAAAAAAGTGAAAAGACAACGCATAAAATGGGAGAATATTTCTGCAAATCATATATCAAAGGAACTTATATCCAGAATTTATAAAGAATGCATACTCCATAATAAAAAGACAAACAGCCCAATTTGAGAAATGGGCAAAGGATCTGGGTAGACATTTGTCCAAAGAGGAGATACAAGTGGACAACAAGAATATGAAAAGGTGCTCAACATCATTAGCCATCAGGGAAATGTAAGTCAAAACCACAATGAGATACCACTTCACATCCACTAGAATGGCTATAACAACAATAAAAAACAAAGAGAAGAAACACACCTCCCAGGTTCTGGTCAAGATGGCAGAATAGACAGTTCCCAGCATCGCTCTCTCCCACAAATCAACCAATTTACAACTATAAAAATGTAACATCAGCCAAGCTGGGGCCGCTGGAGCTCAGAGGAAGAGGAGGAGAGACCTACAGAGTTCATGAAGGTGGGAGAAACCATGATGAGAGAAAGAAAATACTGCTCTGAGTGTTTTGGGCTGTGGCTGCTTTAAGTCTCCAGCTGCTGAGCACATGGATCAGGAGCTGGCAGAAGCTGCAGCTGTGCCCTTCAGATGGAGTTACTTGAAGGCGGCAGGGGAGAAGAGGGCCTTGGTGGCCCCCAGGACAGCAAGACCACTAATAGGGTTCCTGTGGACCCATGCAGGAGTAAGGAGCCAGAACAGCTGAAAAAGGGAGCCACATTCAGAGGCCGGTGAGTCATCGCAAAGGACCGGCACGGGGCCCATTCCATGGGAAGCATTTGGAGCATGGGCGGTGGGGGAGACGGGCCCACCAGAGGAACACTGGGACACAGCAAGGACAGCCAATCTGCCCTCCAATCAGCACAGGACCACTCAGGAGACTGTTCAGGAATGCAGAATTGCATGGGGTGCAGTTTGATGAAAAAACTCAGGCCCAGATAAGAGATTCTACACAACACAGATCCACTGGGTCTCTGGAGATCCGGAAGTACCTATAAGGTCAACCATTAAACCCTAATCTGCACAAAAAGCCTTCCCTAGGGAATCAGCAGCAAAGCAGCAATTTAGTGCAATTATGCAGCTTAAGTACTGGTTCCCACAGGAAGTTCCCCCGTTTTAGAAGTACACAAAGGACAAAAAATAAGTTCTGGCCCAGGCATACCACCAGTACCTCGGGGCTCACCCAGGGACCCAAGGCATGGAGAAGGGGATCAGACCCCTCTCCCACAACCAGGCACACTGTGCCAGTGCCTCGGGGCCCGCCTGGGAATCTCAGGTTTGGAGAAGTGTACTGGACCCCCTCCCACAACCAGATACACTGCTCCAGCACCTCAGGGCCTGTCTGGTGACCTGAAGCATGGAGCCGGGGAGTGGACCCCCTTCCCTCAACCAGGCACACTGCACCAGCACCTTGGGGCCTGCCCAGGAAACAGAGGCATGGAGAAGGGGACCAGACACACCCCACAACCAGGCATACCACCAGCACCAAGGAGCATGCCAAAAACATTGCCTCCATGTGAATGGCCCACCACAGCCACCACAATAACCATGGCTGTCGCAAAAGCAGCCAGACACCACAACCACCATGCAGATGGTCTGCCAACCACTGGAATACATTCACACAAGGAGAGTCACCAGCAGAGATAAAGGAAAGAAGAGGATGTCTCTCTCCACAAAGCCCATTTTAGAGTGACCGAAGAAGCGTCTGCTCTATGATAAAATTGGGGGACCTGATCACACCTGTCAGCATTAGACAGATCATCTAGGCAACAAATTAAAAGAGTAACCATTATTCTTTCAGGAGAGAAGAAATCTAGGGTAAACAGAAGGGGGAGAATGTGGGGGAAGGGGAGAGATTGGACAAGGGGCATGAAGAATAATTACAATTTATAACAATACATATGCTAGTATTGTTTTGATTTGATCAACATATTGATTTGATCAACATATCTCAATGCTGAACCCCCAAAATATGTATAATCAATTTTGATTCAATAAATAAAACAAATTATTTTTTAAAAAAACGAGAAAATAATTGATGAGGATGTGGGGAAGCTGGAATTCTCATCCATTTGCTGGTGGGAATATAAAATGGTGCAGCCACTTTGGAAAATAGTTTGGCAATTCAGCAAAAGATTAAACATACAGTCACCATATGATCTGGCAATTACACTCATAGTTATAAACCCAAGAGAACTGAAAATATATGTCCACACAAAAACTTATACATAAATGTTCATAGCAGCATTATTCATAACAGCCAAAAAAAGTGTAAACAACACAAATGTTCAACTAATGAATAAGCACCCTTTCCTTCTTGTCATATGCTTTCAAATCCAGTTGGTAGCTGCCCTGGAGATTTTACCTTTGAACATGGAGTGTCCCTTGGTTCCTTGAATTCTAGGTCATAGAAAAGCTGTCTATGGTCAGTTGTTATTAAAATGCCCCATCGTAGTATCCCCAGTTTTCTGGCCAGAGAGCTCTGTAAGCTTCTGGACAAAGCTGTCTCACTCTGCATCCTAGTGCCTAGCACAGGTTCGGTGAAAGTGGGTGCTCAGCAAACACTGAATGCATTTTCTACAGCAAACATCAGGCAAATTGTCCAACAGAAAATTCTTGTGATCTCCCTTGGTATGACATAGTTTAGATGCTGAAATCCTATGTGTCATAATACTTGGGGTTTTAGGGAAAATCATGTAGAATATTTTAATGATGGAGATCACTTGATGTTGGCATATAGGAACAGGCATATTTGCATCCCAGGAACTCATGAGCAGTAGGAGAGCTGACATAAGCCAAAGAGCTATGGCTTTTTAAAAAGTAAGGCTAAATTTTTCAAATCCTCCAGAATGCAATCCAGCAGAACCCTGGGCCTCATCAGATTTGCCATTTTCGTTTATGCTCTCTGTGTGTCCAGATTTGAGTGCCTGAACTCTGAGACTAAGGTCAGGGCATGCATGCCAGAGCTACTGAGCAAACCCATCTGACCACAGGTATCGAGGCAGTCTCAACTTGACTTTGTTGTTTTGACATAGCTGTCATTTTTGCAGTTACCCTTGTAATATGAAAAGTTTGTTCTTTTCTTTTCTTTTTTTTTTTTTCCTCCCTCTTCCTTCCTCCCCAGGGCCCACCTACCTCCCTCTAAAAGAAGTCCAACTACTACAGCTGGCAGTAGATGTGAATAGAAAGCAGTTTAAAAGTCAGACAGCCAGAAAATAGAAGTTTTAGAGTAAGGAGCTGGGGTAATCATATGCTACATTGGTGTTTGAGAACTGGGGAATCAGTTCCAAAGGTCTTCCATGGGCATTTCCTGGTATCCTGTGCCTCTCTGTGGGGGGCAGTCCTTCAAAGCTGTCCCCTCAGGAGACCTTCATTAGTAGTGTGGTGACTGGGTAGAGAACAGTGCAGAACAGTATGCACGTGGGACCCCTATTTGCTTTTTTTTAAAAGGGACCATTTTTTTTCTTTTAAAAAGGGGGACCATATATAGCTACAAATAATCATACAAGAGAGTGGAATCCATGATTTCCTGTGTGGTAGGGAGATTTTCACTCTTACCTTTTGAACTATTTCTTTGTTAACCACAGGCAGGTTTCACTTTCCCACTAAAAAGTCATAAGAACGTAAAAAGCCCACTGGGGTGAGTGCTCGTTCCCGGGGCATGGCTGCTGCCCACACTCTGCTGGAAGGCCTCTCCTGGGTGCATCTTCATGGCGCACTGTTCTTGACCCCAAAGGTAATTATCTTGACTCATCAGCTACCCAAATCAGCAGATTTGGCTCTGAATAACACAGCTATTCCCCCAAAGCTTTTCTTTCTTGAAAGAACAAAGTTATGGTTGTCATTGTTTTATACCATTGCAGACATTCAAAGGACTCTTAAGACAGTGTTAAGAATTGTTAAAAGGGCCGGCCTGTGGCTCACTTGGGAGAGTGTGGTGCTGACAACACCAAGTCAACGGTTAAGATCCTCTTACCGGTCATCTTAAAAAAAAAAAAAAAAAAGAACTGTTAAATATATTTTGGGCAATGTTAAGTGCACAGTTTGGGGTAAGTGAACACCCTTTCACGATGGCAATGTTCACCAAGATGGATGCCACAATATTTGAGTGTTTACCATAGGCCAAGAAGTTCCCCTGCACGATATCTTAGTTTCTTCTAATGCCACACATCTGTAAGGCGGGTCCCATTGTTATTTCCACAGGGACCAATTAGGAAAGTTATTTATGCAAAGCCAAAAAGTTAGTAAGCTGGTGGAATCAGGATTTGAGGCTAGGTCTGGCTGAACTTCCAAGCCTAAGCACATAATCCTTATACTACTGCTAACTATGGTAAAGGTAATACAAAGTCACACATCACCAAATCCAGAGCTAAGTTAAGGGGATAGATTGAAAACAACATAAGCATTTGGAGAATAGTCACAATGATGTAGCTCCACCTATTAAGCACCTATTGTGTGCCAGACATCCTGTTGGGCACCCTCATCCCCACGACCCCTCTGTGCAGCGGGCATTGATGTCTTTCTCAGGGAGGAGGAAACCAAGACTCAGGGAGGTGAAATGACTTTTGCCCTAGGCCACAGAGCCCATAGGCAGTTGAAAGGGGAATAAGACTCGGGGTCACATAACCCCAAAGCACCCTCTCTTGCCACTTTTATTCTTGTTTCCGCTCCTCTGCTCTAAGTGATCCTGACAAGTTCCTGAGAGCATAGATGAAAAGCCAACCACCATGAGGAGAGTTCAATCCCTTCCCCAGTAGGATAATGCTGTAGCCCTGCTCTGCCAAGCTGGGATATCATCTGGGACAAACATATCCTTCCCCTCTGCCTTCCCAACCAGAACTTGGGACTCTGCTGATCAAGGAAGGGAGGACAAGGATAGTGAGGGGCTAGGGCTCTACCCTGCCTTAGCCCTGTTTCCTGGTTTCTCCTGTGTGTAGATTTGCCCCTTGTAGACATGAACACTTGGCAAAGGTCAACAACCAAGATCTTCACCAACAGCAAGCTCTGTGCTGGCTATTCTGAAGTGAAGGACTCCGGCAGAACAACAGTGGGAGTTCCCAGCTGGATTTCACCTGGACACTTGGTTCCTGGTGGGTACTGTGTGCTCGGGAGAAGGCGAAGCTGAAAGGGGCCTATACTTGAGTTTCCAGTAACATTTCATACATAAGAAAGACCACTAGGCAGTGCTCCAGACAGGATGTAGAAGCCACTAGGAAATGAAAATTAACTGGGTCAAAAGTTATAGAGAAGCCTGCTTGACTGAAGGGGGTTCTAACCCTGCCATTTTGCTCAGATACTGATAGAAGAAAATGCTTCAAGGAGATCTCATTTGCCCAGATAGTTTTTTTTTTTTTTTTTTTTAAAGATGACCGGTAAGGGGATCTTAACCCTTGACTTGGTGTTGTCAGCACCACGCTCACCCAGTGAGCGAACCGGCCATCCCTATATGGGATCCAAACCCGGGGCCTTGGTGTTATCAGCACCGCATTCTCCCGAGTGAGCCACGGGCCGGCCCCCAGATAGTTTTTTTTAACTAAGAAAATTTTTAAAAATTCCCTGAATGGTTTAGATAGTATATTTGTCCAATAATGATTTCCTAACAAATCATCTGAAAACAAAATAATACTGGCCCACAGCTGTTACTGTCAAGAAGATTCCCAGCATCCACAGCTGGTGGTGTCACTGCTCTTGTGCACTGGTGGTCCCAGGGGTTCCACCCTGAGTCCAGTGCTCACTTTCTCTGGACTTTCTTCCTGGGCAATAACTTAAATACTGAGAAACTGATGTTCATCAGCTTGGTGATGCCACTGGAATCTCCGACCCTACACATCCACATCAGGGCTGGGCATGTCCCGCACTCCAAGCCACAGGGACTTCACAGCGTGACCTCACTCTTCACCTCTGCTCCCATCGGGTTTTCTCCTGCATGCTGTTCTAGTTCATGGCACCGCTGTCCTCTCTCTCACCCAGGCCTAGCCTCTTGCCTCTCCAACTCTAACAGCCAAATGGTGACCACATCCTAGCAGTCCTGCCTCTAAAGATCTTTCCCATCTGTTGTGTCTCCTTCATTCTCAGTTACTATCCTACTCAAGGACTCCCTATCCCGTCTGGGCTACTACAAACACATGGTCAATCCTCTGCTTCAATCATAAAACTCTTTCTTCGGGTAAAAGTATATTCAGAAGCCCAATTCAGTAACAAAAGCAAGCTACTCTGGAAGGAGGAAGGAGAAAGAAATCAGGAGGCACAGGTATGAAAAACCTGTGGCCTATTAGGCCACCTTCTGTGAGAGGTACACTCTTACCTCATTACTTTCTATATTTCCTGGAAATTTTGCAGTTCCCTAAATATACACCATGGAATTTCAATCCTTGGAATATATTGTTTCTTCCGCTCACAATGTCTTCCCTTCTTGTTTGCCCAGCACGTGCCTATCTTCAAAGCATGAGATCTGAAACCAGAAAGAACCAAGTTTGAACTCAGCACCACCAAGTAGTAGCTCTATGACCACGGTCCTTTCTGGGCCTGACTCCTCATCCCTAAGATAAAGGTAATATTAACATTTATGTCATAAAACTGTTAAACAGCAATAAATGATGCTATATTTAAGTTGCTTAGCAGAGAGTACAGAGTAAGCACTCAATAAATGTTAAGGAGTCATAATTATCCTCACCCTTCATAAGTCAACTCAACACCACCTCTTCCATAAAGCTTTCCCTGATCTCTTCCAGTTGTGCCCCCAATGAAACCCACCACACTGCAGTTATACTTAGGTTTGCTTACCTGCCTCCCTTTTCACAATGTGACCTTATTAAGGGCAGAGGTTAACCTCCATATTTGGTTCTCTGCTATTCAGTAATATCCAATACCTAGTAGGCTCAGTGTTTGTCGAATGAATAAATGAATGAAAAAGGGAGGAAGTAGGGTCATTCACTAACCAAATTTATTGAGTGTGTACGGTGTGACATGTTCTGGTTGCTGCGGGTATGTCAGTGAAAAGGGAGGAAGTAGGGTCATTCATTAACCAAATTTATTGAGTGTGTACGGTGTGACATGTTCTGGTTGCTGCGGGTATGTCAGTGAATAAATAGATGGAGTTCCTGACCTCATGGAGCTCCCATTCTAATGAAAAGATACACACAATATACAAACGAGTAAATCCATAGTATGTTAGATGGTGCAAAGTGCTTTGGGAAAAAATAAAATAGACTAAGGGGTAACAAAACAAGGGGCAGTTGTTGTTCTTTTATGTAAGAAGGTCAGAGAAGGCCTCACAGATAAGGTGACATCTGAACAGAGACCTGAAGGAAGAAAGACAGCAAGGTGCATGAATATTTGAGGAGTGAGGAGGCATGACTCAGATCAAGGGAACAGCCAAGTGCAAAGGCCCCAAGGTGAGAATGTGTTGGGTGCATATGAAGAACAGGAAGCTGACCAGTGGGTGCTGGAGCTAGCGTGGTATGAAATGAGGTCAGAGGAGCAGTGGGGGTGGTGGGTATTGCGGGGTACAGATCATGGGTCACGTGGGGCTCAACCATTCCTTAATGAAGATGCAAACTATTACTAATTGATTAGTTTCTTAGGCATCTGGAAAATCCTGTCCATTTACCTATTTAAAAATGCAGCAGAAATGAAGCTTTCCCAGCCTTAATCAGCCTTAATGAGTATAAATGAAGTTGTTTCACATTAATATCTAAATCTCAATGGCTTTGAATTCTCACCTGTGCAAATGCAGGAAGTCCCACCTCAAGGAAAATACTCCTTCACCAAGTATTTCTAGGGCACCTAAGGGTTTGTGCACGATCCTAAATCAGTTGCTGTGGCTGGTTAGGCAAACTTTTGCAGCTTCAGGCCCTGATGGTTCTACAGATATATCACAGTGGGAACTCCACTCCTGTCACTACCACTAAGTCGGCCAGGGGATTTGCAATTCTGGGATTCCACAGGACCTCACCTCATGATCCAGAAGGCTAGATTCAGATGAGGGGGCCTGTACCACAGCAGAACTTTTTGAACATCAGTGTTAAGGTGTCTTGACACAGCTTTTAGTTCACACCCACAGCCCTTCTCTCCCCAGGGAACAAATTTACCTTTGGTTGGGTCAGGATATACCTGGAACTAGAGTTTGCCTCTAACATTGTATCTTCTTGGGAAGCCGGGTTTCTGTCAGACTGATCCTTCGCTTATGGTAAATTTTCTGTTAGGGCTCCCGTAGTCTCTGCAAGTAGGCCTCTGCCTGGGCCACTCCGACCCATTAGACTTGTCAATAATCAAACCCAACAGTGAACAAAGTTCAAGGTGTTTCCCTAAGATTCTCAGCCCCAGAAAATATTAATGAATATGATACCTGAAGATTATCACCTAAGCACCAGTATGGCCAAATCCCATCTGCTATGCAGCTGTGAGCCACCGAGACACTTCATCAGAATATTAGCTTTATCAGCATCCTAAGGTCTTCCATTTATTATTCAAGATGTGATTACGTTGAGGAGTAACAGCAAAACCTACAAAAGAATGAGCACAAGTGTTCATTACAGATGGAACAAGTTTAACAAGATCCAAGAGCAACTTGAGGTTCAACACAAAAATTCTAAGCATATATTTAAATCCTAGTATTTTACCCAGAGAACACCACAGCATAACTGAGAGCTCTGGAAGCAGAAAGAATTGACTTCAGATCCATGGATTGCTTGCTACTTACTGTGTGACTTTGGGTAACCATTCACTTTGAATCCATTTTTCTCACTTATAAAAAGTTGATGACTGGGGCCAGCCCCTGGCTCACTCAGGAGAGTGTGGTGCTGACAACACCAAGGCCATGGGTTCAGATCCCTATAAAGGGATGGCCAGTTAGCTCACTGGGTGAGCATGGTGCTGACAACACCAAGTCAAGGTCATCTTTTAAGAAAAAATAAAAATTTAAAAAAAGTTGATGACAACTACTTCTAATAAAACATAAAT